ATGTTGAAAGAAATCTACCAAAATGGACTTTTCTTTTAGTCAAGATCATGGATTCTGTGAAAGTTTAGACCTTTGGAGGTTGCCATCCCTATCAGGAGGCACTATTTTTTCCAGTTTTCTTGAAAATGACCTTTTCTGATTCATGACCATATGAAGAGAGATATTCAAAACTTTCTCCTTAACTATATATTTATAGGGACCCTAGTTCTGAAATACACTGTTATTGAAGATCAAAGCAGATACAAAATAACAACCCTCACAAAATTATTCACACTGCATTGTTCATTTAAACCTGGTAAACAAGGATATGCATTTCCTTTGCTGGGGTTATCCTTGTTTTTCATTCTGAATATGTTGGGAGAAAAATTGCCAGGGTGCATCAATACTTCGTAGTATTTGGTTTTCTGAGCAAATTGCAGTAATAAAATCATTTCTTCCTTATAAACCTAGCTCTTGAACAGGAATAAATTGCTTAAATTAATCAAAGAAATAGACTATGTGCCGCTTGATGAGCTTTAGCAGATTTTTTGAGGTTACAAAAATCTCAACGTAATTAGTTAAGAGCAAGCTTAACCAAATATGTTTATTTACAAACTGTTTTTTACCGATTTCCATTTCATTTCTCCAAGAAGAAGTGGCAAGTCACTTTAACTATATCTATAGTTATTTTGCTATAAATACAAGAAAAACAATCTACATATTTCACTAAAATGTTTTCAAAAAGCGATTTTAATAACATTAATACTCGTAAACATTTTATGAAGTGAAGGAGTCATCTGTTTATTAAGACATTTCAATTTGTCTTTTCAAGGGAGCAGCATCATGACTTCTATACGTTCTGTGACTCCTATAGAGCCAAATAGAGCATATCATGGCAGAGTGAAGAGTAAATATACATTTACAACAGGGGTCTTCAAACCTGGCCCTTTTATGACTTGTGGACTTCAACTCTCAGAATTCCTCAGCCAGGCACACTGGCTGAGGAATTCTGGGAGTTGAAGTCCACAAGTCATAAAAGGGCCAAGTTTGAAGACCCCTGATTTACAACAACAATCTACATACCTGATAAGTCAGTGTTACATTTGCTACCTGCTGTTCTTGACCTATTCTATGTGCCCAAACAATACATTACGTGAAAGGAGGGACGTCTAGCTGGATTTAAATTCCATTCTCCAAATTATGTTTAGAACATTTATGTACTTTCTATTGATATTTGTGGGGTTCATTTTCTGTCAAACACTAGCTGATGAGCAGATTATGCTAATGAGACTGAACAAATATACTTTATCCATGTGAAGAAGCCATGTTGTGCATGTATAATATCCAAGTAGGGCCCAAACCCATGAAAATATGAATGAGGGCAACTTGTATTGTTAAATGAAGGAATCTTATTAAAATTAGATCAGAACAGTCAATGCAATAGCTAAGCAGCTGCAATAACACTAAAAACTGAACATGAAAGACTGTATGGTAATCCCTCCCTTGTAATATTGCAAAACTGCTTTCTTTCAAGATTTTAAACATCGAAAGGAACAACGCTGCTATAAATTATCCTAGCTGACAGAACAATTGTGCACAACTCTTCAAACTCTAGATATCCAATGAAGTGGAACCAGCAATATTCTATGATGGGGGGGGGGGAGGAGAAAGGCCTATTATTTAGCTGGCAGTTTGTTTGAAATCTCAGCTGCAGTTGTCAACTCTGTTGAAAAACATGCTGGCCACTTGAGTGTCAAGAAGCTCCAACTATGTATGGGGTTCCCCTTTTCTATCCATATACCTAGGGCAGATCATAGTATTTCCAAGTGAGCAAATGGAAGTAAGAAGTAAATGATACAGAATCTTAGTTAACTTAACTGATTATTCAAAGCGCCTAAGGAAATAGTTACATTGTTTTTAGAGCTTGATTGTTCCTAAATTCCTACCTATGAATTGAGTGTGACAAGTCAAGTAAAAATTCATATCCACATGGAATGGAAACTTCTGACAAGGGCTTTCCTTTTCTCTGGCATTAAGAGTAGACCAATAAAGTAATTAAGAATCTGCTTCTCCTTTCGTAATATCCTTAAGCTTCTTCATTCTGTCAATATGACATCTGGCCTTGTTTGAAGTGTTATTTATTTTGAAAATACTGTAAACACTCTACACGAAATGTCACATTTTTGAGACATCTTAAAATATCAGTAATGCAATTCCAAGCATGCTTACTCTGATCAGTCAGCACACTGTTCAACATATGATGACATAGTGATGTCATTAAAAGTGGATGAAATATTTCAGCTTATTTTTTTCACTCTGGGAAGTTCATGGAATTAAAGGAAGTGTATGTTTTCATTTCCATCCTTAAAATTGTACCTACGCCAAAGGGGCACATGAATCAGCCATTTTGCAACTAAACTCAGCTGTATAAACTTGCTTGCTGTTGGCTCCACAAAGCTGTCTGTCATTGGCAGACTCCCTATCCCTTCTTGAGGGACAATTCATAAAACATATGCAGTAATTAATAAGTGATATAATAAATAAACAATAACCACTTAGTTTTCTGTTGGCAAAAAAACAGCATTAATAAAGCTCTGTCTTGGCATTTATGAAAATTGAGTTGTATAACAAATTTAAACCATAACATGGTGGCACAGTGGTTAGAATGCAGTACTGCAGGCTAAGTCTGTGGACTGCTGGCTGCCAGCAGTTCAGCAGTTCGATTCTCACCAACTCAAGGTTGAGTCAGCCTTCCAAGGTCAGCCTTCCAAGTAAAATGAGGACCCAAATTGTTAGGGGCAATATTCTGATTCTGCAAACTGCTTAGAGAGGGCTGTAAAGCACTGTGAAGTGGCATATAAGTCTAAATGCTATTGATATTATTATCTATGGTTGTATAGTGTGGTTTGTATGCATTAGCTATAATCTATGATTAGATAGGAAAGATAAAATTCAGCTCACAATTTGCTGAATTAAAAAAATGCACTTTATATCTATACTGTTCTTTAGTGCAGGGTCCCAACCCCCAGTCCATGGACCATGACCGGTTTGTGGCCTACTGGCAACTGGTCCACACAAGCGGGGCGCAAGCTTGGGATTAGGTAGAACATGCAAAATCATCCCCTCCCCCCCCAATCCGCCGAGCCAGAAAGATGGGTGACCGCTGTTTCAGTGCAGAGATATCCACTGATATCTCTGCATTGAGTATTTATTACAAAGATATATACTAAAATGCAACGGGCCATTTACTTTTGTAGAAATAGTTATAAAACTGGCAAAGAACAATGTCTTTTATCACAGCTAATTGCTTCAAACTGCATGTCTTTTTAAAAAGTACTCGCATTATTTCCAGTGGTATGTAACTAAAGCTAGATCTTTTGTGGGGGAAAAAATAATAATAAAATGTGATTTTATTTCTATTATTAGCATGCCTAGAAAACCTGAACCTCAACTCCTTGAACATTTATCAATTGCTAAAAAGCAAAGAGAGAAGTAGTGGAAGAAATGGGCTGAGGACATGGCTTCCCTCTCACCTTCTTTTGCCCATTTAGCGGCAAATGGCAATATTATATTAGTGATGGGATTTCAAGAGATGCACCTGCATTATTCTGTAACTAAAACCACAGGATATGGTTTAGTCTAGATCAGTGGTGGCGAACCTATGGCACGGGTGCCAGAGGCGGCACTCAGAGCCCTCTCTGTGGGCACGCACGCTGTCGCCCCAGTCCTAGGCCTTCAGCTGGGTTTTATAAAACCTTTTCGCTTTAGGCCTTTAGGTGTGCAAAAAAAAAAAGGTTCAATCAGTCAATTTCAACTTGCAGGGAAAAAAAAGATCTTGCAAAGTTGGAATTGATTGAACTTTTTAGTCCCACCCAGTCTGCCATTACCACCGCAGCCACGCCTACCCAGTGGGCCACACCCACCCAATGGGCCACACCCACCTGGCACTTGACGATGCATAAGTGGGTTTTGGGTTGCAGTTTGGGCACTCAGTCTCTAAAAGGTTCGCCATCACTGGTCTAGATGTTTCTATGCAAAGTTCGCAGGCTGGAAAAAACATGTTTCTCAGCAGAAATAGCTTCCACTGCAGCAGACATTTTTGTGGCCAGGAAAATAAGGCAAATGAAAAAGGAGCAGCAGTTAGAATGCTGCAGCAAAATAATGTCTGGGCCCATTCTGAGCCTGTTCTGAGAACTAAGCTATTTTGCTTGATTATTTTCTTTAAAAACAAAAAAAAACAAAACCCCCAAAACAAAACATTCTGATGGTTGGGATAGAACTAAACATGGCTTTTAAGTTCTCCCTATTAGGAATAGCTCTTCCCATTAAAGTCCAGGTCAGACTATCCTATGAATAAATTAAATGACACTTTAGAATTTCCCAGTGTTTCAATTTTAGTTGATAATTGCTTTAATTCCCCTTTTCCTCATTCTTTCTTTTTTTTGGGGGGGGGGAGAATTAGAATTGTTCCCTAATTTTACTTGTAGTGATTCATATAAAAAGTGGTGGCAATTTACCACTTTTTAGAAATAGCTAAACTGAAACTATTACTGCCTAGGAATATTATGAAAATTTCATATCCTTCACTAATTTTAATAAAGTAAAAGCAAATAAAAGTTTTTTTATGTTCTGAAAAGCACACCAAATATAATAACAGGGAATTTATTACCAGTTCCAGCTATTCACATGGAGATTAAACAAGAATTGCACAGGACCCCAACACTGTGCTCTTACATAGCACTAATTAATTTTAAGTGGTTCTAAATTAAAAAAGTTCCCAGAGAATTCCTTTCTTTACAGTATCACGCATCATATACACATTAATCTTCAATAGACTTGGATAAATATCTTTGTACATAGTTGTTCCAAGCTTCTGATCCAAGGACTGGATGTGAGAACCACCTTTGCTTGAAGTTATTTCTCAACTTCAAATTGTATTTGAAATGGGTTCTAAACTTGTTTTGCTTTGAGAGAGTTTTTCCCCCTCCAAAAAATGGAAAAAAATCAGCTGCATGCAAATATCTTATGTAACTATTTTAATTGCAGCCAGTTTTGAATTTAGCTCTTTAACAGTCTATTTGTACCACCACTCAAATACTCTGGAAACAGTACTTGTAATACAGAATAATATATACAATATTAAGCATGGCCAACACAGTCTTCATATAATAAAGTAACTGAAGGGATAATATTGCTTGTTGTTACCTTTGTTCCTTAAAGTGAAAACTTTCTAGTAGAAATAGTCTGACTGCTTCCTCATAACATCTTCTCAATCTATCAATGATAGATTCAATGTAGAATTCTCAACCACAATAGCAACTCATGTAAGCCACTGTTCCTTTTCTTTGCTATATTTTTCAGACCACTTGTGAGTTAGTTCCAGATAGATATTTGGTTTATGAGGCTGATAATCCAGATAAGTTGTCACATCAGTCTTTTTAGGAATGGCGTTTTCAATCTGAGTCCCTTCGTGCCATTCATTGAAAGAGGTGATGGAAATGATTTCAGGTCGTACTAGAAGCGCAGCACTGAATGCCGTCTCGTAATATTTCCCATTGACACGATTGCGTGTGTTGTGATTGTTCCATGGTCGGATGCTGGTATCTATGTACCCTGGGCCCACACTTGGAATAAACATTAAGTTTTTTATGTCACAGAAAGCTTTCAAACTGGGCCAGTTATGATGGCTTGAACCATAAGAGAAACCATTTGTGGCAAAATAGGTGTAAATCCCATCAAAGCCACTTCGATGGATTTCATGTTTATGTTTTTCTTCTACAAGAAGGGCAATGAATAAGCTGTCATAGGGTGTATTACGTATACTTTGAGATCCTGATACCGTGAGCAGATTTGCCCACATTTCTGGGATTGTGATGTAAGAATCATAAACATAGAACATGGGAAGGGTTCTACCTGTACTGACTTTATGTCTGTAAAAAGCTGGATGGCCTCCATATCTAAAAGCAAACAAGCAAAAAAAGAAAGTGAATGGTCCATATATATTTCTAATAGTTTTAAAAATTACTCTTCCTACCTCTCAATTATTTCATTTCAAGTGTCATTACTAGCATTACATAGATCTTTAAACACAATTAACTGCAACTCAGCAAAACAAATTTAATAAATGTAGCCTTATTAGGAAGATAAAATTACTAAATTGCTCTGCTTGCAATCCCCTATTTGTTGCTACATGACACAGTAACAAAAATGACAACAATGATATTAAATATTGTGAATTTGAATAAAAAGGATGGGAGTTCAGGTTATTTTAACGAGAACTGTGTTTACTGACGAGGAGTCAATGTTCAATTGATAAACCACCATGAAACATATAGATAATATGAGACAGAATAAAATTATCATATTGATATCCAAATATTGCACTAAGTTCTTACTTGTCTATAATATACTTGACATTGCTGTACATGCTGCGATCATCTCTGTCTTTATATGGCTCAATATGGAAAGTGACCTGAAACATAACAAGGATTTTTTTTTGTTAAAAAAATGGAATGTCTCAAAAGAGCAAAGAATCCTGAAGTCAGTAGCCTATATCCTCCCCTCTATTTCTGAAGAATAGAAATTTTATTTGATATTTGCATATAGTAGAAAAAGAAGGGAAAAGAGGGGGGGGGAAACTAAAGGGAGAGAAACTTTTAGTTCTTTACATGGGAATGGAGTTTGTCCTGTTGTCACCCAGCACAGATTGATTAGAAAATGGAAAGCATAGCCATTTGATAGAAACACAGAATAAAATATCAATTAATTTTTTGCTTTATACATTTAATTAATTTCTGTGGCCACCATTCTCAAATAAGTGACTCTGAACAGCAAACAATCCTAAAGACAATTAAAAACAATTACAGTCTAATGCAACAATATATATGGTGGTCATTATTAACTAAACCAGGACAAAAGAGCTGGCAGACGACACCCAACAGAAAGTTAATAGCTCTTTAGTAGTAAAATTATGTTTTCCTCTGCTGAAAAATCACCTAAAGACAATGCTATAATGTTTTAAATTTGCCCACAGAAAGAGAAAATATAAGCACATTGCCAACTCCAATCTGAAGAGCAAATTTAAATGTGCCAACAGTGAAAAGGGAAATGTGGCTGGAATTTCAAATGATCAAGAATCTCACTGTCATTGCCATTTCTGATTCATTTTTCAGGCATAACTGCCCAATAGTTTCAAAGCCTTGTGCAAAACTGTTGCGGCACTGAGACACCTAATATTAAATTCACTAGATAATTATTTTATCAGAGAAACAGCAATTCAAGAAGTTAATGTCTCCAGGAAAAAAAATATGTATTGATTTGCAAGAAATGCTTAAATTATTAAATGTTCAGTTTTAATTAGTGTTGGGATCAATTTTAGAGTTTGGGCAGTTCAAATTATTAAATTTTCCAGTTCAGCAATTTATACCTGAGTATGTAATTGGATTTACCTTATTAGCAAATAATTTTCCCCAACACATCTGCCCTGCCTCCCTAATCAACCTTATCCTGGCAATAATGACAATTTACTACTAAAGAGGCTACGTTGACTATTTTCTTCACACAGTTTCTAGCCTTCATACATGTAGTTTATATTTTACTCAGAATCTGGGACAGAACAGTTTCGTCTCCAATTCTGGGTTGAGAAAAAAATATTTGAAAAATATTTTAATATTTTAATAATCTAATTATGCTTAGATTTAAGGAATCTTAGATTACTCAAACAAATGCATTTTTTTAATTTTTGCATTTTTTTAAAGGCAGTCATTATTTTAGTTTTGATGGAGGACAATTCTTTTATTTTCAAAAGAATTAGAAGGCACCGTTCCTAAGGCCAAATTTTGGGATGGAAAAACTTTTAATTTTATTTTATAATATGGATTAGAAAATAGAAATCTGTCTCACACCAAGCCAGGCCATTGGTTTACCTAACACAATACAATCTGGGGTGTATGGTAGCAAATCTTCAGGATATATTGGGGATGTTTGATTCAAAACATGGATCACAAGCCCAATTTCAATAGGAAATTATAACATAATATTTTTAGAATATTTATAGAAAGTATAATAAACTATACTTTTATGTAATAAGGCACAAAAAAACCGTTTGTTCGGTTTGTAGCATACCACTGGAATCCTGTGTATATATTATTTATTTATGAAATTTACAGATTGCCACAATCTGTACAACTCTGGGTATCTTATAGGATACAAGAATAAAACAATAAAGATACAGAATTTGTATCTTTATTGTTTTATTCTTGTATCCTATAAGATATATAAACCAAAAACAAATCTGGAGAAAAAGAGTAGTCAGTTAAGTAATCAAAGCAAAGGGTTATAAGTTGCACCTCAACTCGAAAACAAGTTCCACTAAATTAAGTGTACGTCTATATTTATCTGAGGATGTTTGCTTTGAATTAAAGTTGGGGGTTAATTCTGAGAAGACGACTTATAACTGCTTCAAGTTCTAACTTGACCGGAACAAAACTAAAATTCATTTAATAGATAAGACTGTCTCACAATCAGTCTGAATATATTTAACTTATGGAAGGTAACAACATCGCATTTGGCCAACAGTCGTTTGCTGAAATAAATTATTGATATATAATAATAATAGTAATAATAATATAAATATGACCACTGAGAACTAGTCCAATTGAGTTCAATAGAATTTACTCTGAGAGAAATGAATATAAAATATCAACACATTTTGTTTCTATAACAATGCTGACTATTTTATTCAACTCATTACAACTAGTTTCTACAAATCTGAAATTTCAAATACTATACCTTTAATTTATACTTGTGTGCAATATCCAAAATTATAGGCACAAGGCCATCAGTGGGCTCTCCATTTTCATCAGCCATAACAGGTGGGTACCAGGAAAGAGCCAATACCCCTAAGAAATAAAACATTTATTATTATTATTATTATTATTATTATTATTATTATTATTATTATTATTATTATTATTATTATTATTATTATTATTATTATTATTATATTATTATTATTATTATTATTATTATTATTATTATTATTATTAATTTGAATTGACACCCTCTGAATGTTTTTTTTTAAATCTCACACAATGAATAATCACATTTTGAAGCTTTTATTTAAAGTTTCCTATAAGCCACTTCAGTTATAATAGGCTGCTGACGTGTGGACCGCCACAGGGCTCAGTGCTGTCACCTCTCTCCTGCTTAACATCTACATGAAGCCTTTGGGCGAAATCATCTGTTGACATGAGGTTGGGTATCATTAATATGCTGATGATACCAGCTGCACATTTCAACCTCAAGCTGACCAAGGAAATGCTGTCAAAGTCTTTTTCCCAGCATCAAGGACTTTCTATCTTTTGTTTGAAACTGGATAGCATTTTCCAAAAATCACAATTTGAGGGTTCTCCTGGACTCAATTCCTACTCAAAGAGCAGGTGGCAGCTGTCTCTAGGAAGGCCTTTGCCTAGATTCATCTGTTGCACCACTGCACTCTTTTTCATAACTGGGAATCTCTTCTCATAGTCACTAATGATTAGTCACTAGTGTCAATAATGATATAGTCACTAACGATATAATCATAGTCACTTCCCATTTGAACTACTGCAATGCGCTCAATATAAGGATGCCCTCAAAGACCACTTGGAAACTACAGCTGGTCTAGAAGGCAGTAATGAAGGCAGAGACTGGTGTTCTAAATTCTCTCTGGTGTATGAGGTACATTGGTTGGCAATTCAGCTTCCAGGTATAATCTATGTTGCAGTTTGTAACAAACAAAGTCTTACCAGGTTTAGGGCACAACTACTATCACTATCTGGGTGACTGCCTTCCTCTCATTGTTTCTGCCTGTCCTCTAATATATGAAAGAGTGGACTGGCTGACTGGCCGTACTCAGCATGTGGGCCTCAATGGAACTGCATCTTACATGGAGGGAAGTGTGTAGTGGGGTGCCCCAGGGCTCTGTTTTGGGCCCAGTGCTCTTCAACATCTTCATCCAATGATTTGGATGAGGGGATAGATGGGGAACTCATCAAATTTGTAGACGACACCAAGCTGGCAGGAATAGCTAACACTTCAGAAGATAGGCTTAAGATACAGAAGGATTTTGACAGACTTGAACATTGGGTGCTATCTAACAAAATGAAGTTCAATTGTGAAAAAGTAAGGTTCTACATTTAGGCAAGAAAAATCAAGTGCACAGGTACAGTATAGGTGGTACCTTGCTCAATAGTAGTAACTGAGAGAGGGATCTTGGAGTCCTAGTGGACAATCACCACTGCAGCATCCAACGGTTACGATTTATGATTTTTCCTATCATCCTCCTGCAAGCACTGTCAATGGGGAAGCTTACAGGAAGTCAAAAGTCACAGTCATGTGAAGTCCCCACTTTATGACCAACAGTGATTTGCTTCATAATGGTAATTGGGGACTATTGGAACTGCTCTTGCTAACTATCAAATGATGTTGTATTTTATGACTGCATAATTTAGCAAAGAAAAAAGAAAAAAAATCCGGTCCCAATTAATGTTATTAAATGAGAATTACCAATACTAAAACCATTGAAATACAATAATAGAGAGTAAAATAAATAAATAAATGAATGAATACACAAAAAAGATGGACGGGAAAGTAGTGAAGGGGTTTCACTCTATTTTGCTAAGCCCTGAGTGAAGAACCAGGTCTTCAAGGCCATTCAAAACACTAGCATTGGGGGGAGGACCTCTGGATCTTTGGGGAAGATCACCCTAGAAGGAAGACACTGGTACAGAGAAAGCATGCTTCCTGGGTCCTAACAGATGGCATTGTTTAATTGAAGGAGCCTGGAGCAGATCAATCCTGATGAAACTGGGAGAGAGGCAGTCCCTCAAGTAATCTAAACCAGGGGTCCCCAACCTCTGATTCATGGGCCTTGGCATTCCAGAAACCGGGCCACGGAAACAAGCGAAGCCCCATCCACGGGATGCAGGCAGCACACAAAACAATACCTCTCTGATCCATGGAAAAAACTCTCTCCATGGAACTGGTCCCTGGTGCCCAAAAGGTTGGGGACCACTGCTCTACGCCAGGGGCCCCCAACCATGGCAACTTTAAGACCTGTGGACTTCAACTCCCAGAATTCCCCAGCCAGCTATGCTGGCTGGGGAATTCTGGGAGTTGAAGTCCACAGGTCTTAAAGTTGCCACGGTTGGGGACCCTTGCTCTATGCCATGTAGTGAAGTTACAGGTCACTACCAGCACCTTGAATCTCACCAGGATGCAAACTCACAATCCACGGCAGCTCACAAAGCAGAGGTGTTACTGAGGTATTATTCACAAAGCTGAAGTGTTACTGAGGTATGTCCATTATTGCTCCCACCACTGCATAAAGCAAGCAAGCAAGCAAGCAGTTTGTTTTAGGAGAGTTTTCTGAGAATGAGGAAGGGAAATGAAAAAAGCTATGGAAGGTGATTAAATTGGTCAGAAGGCGACTAAACTGCCTGGAAGGATGAGGTGGAGATTGCAAGGCTGCGAAAGGAGGCTGAAAGCAAGCAAGCAGAAAGGAAGCAAAGGGATGTAGGACAGAGACATGATGGGTTTTGGGGGGGGGCAGGTAGGGGCTGGCGAGGGGAAAAGAGATGGAATACTTACCAATGGATGCTAATCTCATTTGCTTCATGTGAGCTTCTATGACAGATGGGTCTCTAGAGCTATAAGGTCCAAGTTCTGGGTAGAAGCTTGATCCAATGTCTTCTGGAGGATTGTGCCTGCCTTTTGGATAACCACTTGCAATTTTTGGATCCCAATGGGTCAGTAATGGGTGGTTCCAGTGAATATATTTTCCATCAAATTGTGGAGTCCCATACCAGCTGTAGTAAAATACATGGAAATTATAATTTGGAGGAGGTAGCTCTTCCATTTTTCTTACAGAAGTTGTAGATGTTTTGAGATTCACCGGTAGAGGGTGAACGCTTTTGGTCCGCGTGAAGCTGTCTTCTTTTGCTCCCTTATGCAGACTGAACTTCTTTTTTAAATGTGTGGTCTGTTGCTGAAAATCTGGTAACAGGCCAAGACCAAATGGATCTCCAAACCCAACTCTTTCTGGTCTCAGAGTTTTCAGTGCCATCATTATAGAGCAAATAAATAAAATAAAAAGCAGCAAAACGATGCATGTTCTCCTGCGAAATCTTGCCATGATATCATGGTAGTTCAGGACAGCGGTAGGAAGCGTCCAGCTGTTTGTAAACAAGAAAAAAAAAACATGACCATAGAGCTTTAAATTTTGCAACCAACTAAAACAAATTCACACTAACATGGTAGAATTAGTTAATATTTATATATGACCTACAATTTCCTAAGCTCTGAATTACGTCTTAACATAGGAAAAATCGAACTGATTTATGTTGAGCCTATCATGTCATCTAGATCAATACTATCAGTATTGATCACAGTACTCCAGTTCACTTTTTCATGTTATGATCCATTAATTCCATAAAAAAAAAATCAGTCTTCCCCAACCCCCATGATAGAAGCAAAAATAATACTTTTTGTAAGGAAGACATTAATATTACAGATGCAGCATGTTGAGTTTAATTATCTAATTATTCCTTCCAACTCTGTTTTATAATTTCGGGATATTAAGAAATTGCTATGTGGGATATTTTTACTGTTGACTTTAAAACATAAACTAAAATAATAATTCCATTAGAAGCGGAAAGGCAAAGCAAAAAGAAGTTAAGAAGGAGCTGACTTAGGGAGATATTTGTTGTTTTGCAAAAAAAAAAAAAGCATTAAGGATGGAAAACAACAAAACAAATGGTGCTTCTAGCTGTTGCTTGCAAAAGAAGCTAATAATACATGAAAGAACATAATCGGGGCTTAGGGTTGCAAATAGAAAGATTGAGGATAGTGATGTTTAACAGCAGAGGGGCAATGGAGTAAAGCTCTTCCTCATTTTATCAGTCTCCATCCCTGGTCATTCATTCATTCATTCATTCATTCATTCATTCATTCATTCATTCAGTCAGTCAGTCAGTCAGTCAGTCAGTCAGTCAGTCAGTCAGTCTTCCCTTGCTTCTTGCAGCTGCTTGCAAAGCAGTTCAACAAACTGTTCAAACGAGTATGTGAAAGGAACTGGAAGCTGTCATCTGAAATTGGAATAGCTCAAAGCCCTTCTCAAGCCTGAATAACTAGGAAATGCTTCCCATTGTTGAGGTGTATATGCACTATCTCATCTAAACAGTATCCCAGGGTACCTGAAAATGTCTCAGACTGATCTGCTAGGATGGGGTAATGAGGAGATTGGAGGCAAGGAAGTCCAGAAGTACAAATTCAGTGTTGTGCATTTTCAGTGCAAGGCCCGCTCCCTTTGTTTATGTGTCATGAACGCCAGGGATCTTGTGGCACAGTGCAACAACGTTTTGTTCATTATTCACCCGTATGGGATCTTCTGCACATAAAGCAGCTGTTCTAATATTGAGACAAGGAACCCTTTATCTTTAAAAGATAAAACAGTCCCAACCTAGGACAATGTCTAACAGGTTGAAAGAAAAAGCAAAGAGAATAAGAAAAGAACACAAAAGTGAAAACAGGCACGGTTCTTCATTGGCTAATGAAAGAAGACTGGTCTTCTGTTTGCCATGTTCTCAATAAGTTTATTGCCTCCCATGATCTCCTGGCTGACATAACTCTTTTTATTTCTATAACCTAAAATACCTCATTCAGATATAGAGATATAGATAGGAACATCTTGATAAAACAATGCATTTATTCAAGAGCAAAAAAGGTGCTAAGACTTGTTTTCAAACAATATATGCACTTTTTACAAGACACATCTTCATATCTTTTATTCTGTTATCCTGTTAATTAAAATTGACAGATAAGAGATTATTTTTTACATATTTGATCCTATCGAATCATTTTCCAACAAGAAAACAAACCTCAAATTTAGCTTACATGGTGCATTGGGGAAAGTATGTTAGACATATCCCCTCCACCCAAATAATGATTTAGGAATACATCTGTGTCTCTGAAGCATGTGCTATTTGAATTTCTACCTTGACGCTGAGCACAATTCTGCCTTCCCCATTATTAGCATTGTGAGGAATGAAGAGGATGGGAAAGTCAGAAACCATTTATGGGATGTGATTTCTCTGACAACAAGAACCACTGTAATACAAACATATACCCTTAGCTCAGTGATGGCGAACCTTTAAGAGACTGAGTGCCCAAACTGCAAGCCAAAACCCACTTATGCATCATCGAATGCCGAGTGGGTATGGCCCATTGGCTGGGTGTGGCCAATTGGGTGGGCGTGGCTGTGGTGGTAACGGCAGACTGGGTGGAACTAAAAAGTTCAATCAATCAATTCCAACTTTGCAAGATCTTTTTTTTCCTGTGAGAAGTTGAAATTGACTGATTGAACCTTTTTTTTTTTTTGCACACGGCGTCGGAGGCCTAAAGCGAAAAGGTTTTATAAAACCNCTAGGGGTATTTTAAAGGGGTTTTAAATTAAATTTTTAGTAGAAGCGGCCAAATCTGAATAGTTATTTTTAATCTTTTTTAAATTTTGTATTGTACTGTACCATTGTTTTAAACTGGCTGTAAGCCGCCCTGAGTCCTCCGGGAGAAGGGCGGGGTATAAATTTAATAAAATCAAAATCAAATCAAAATCAAAATCAAATCAAATCTCTATTCTGGAACATATCTATTTTACTATCTGGATTGTAACGTGGAGATAAGATGCAAAGGGACGAAGAATTTCCATACATTTGTCTATCCACCCAGTTTATATTGCTACCCAACTAGTCATTCTAACTCTGGATGCCTAACGAGTTACAAACAAGTAAAAAAATGAAAGCCACGACAAAACCCCAGAAGTCAAATGCAAAACATAACATGCCTAAGCCAACCACGATCAATCATTCCCTTAACCTTTAAAGAACGAGCTCATCTAAGACCCTGGCCTAAGGCCTGGAGGACAAGCCAGGTTTTCAAAGCTTTATGAAAGGCTTGCAGGGCCAGACATATCTGAATTTCCTAGGGCAGAAGCTATGGCAAAGGAGAACACCTTCTGAGTCCTCTTAGATGGCATGTTTTCATACAGCACACCCAAACCATGCCCGCTCTGTTGGATCTTATGGGATGAAGCGAAATAACCGGAGACAGATGATTCTATAATAACCTAGTCCTGGGTCATGAAGGACTTTGTAGCTGGAAATTAACATGTTGTATTGTATTTGAAAATCTACTGGGAGCTACTGCAGCTCATGAAGCACTAGTGTTATATGGGTGTGCCATGATGCAACGTAAGTACTTACAGTTGTAGTTTTCAAGTGCTTTTTTTAAATCTCACCTTTATTATTTTTATAAATAGCTCAAGGCAGGAAACATACATAATACATATTCTTTCTCTTATATTCCCCGTAATAGCAACCCTGTGGATTGGACTGAGAGAGGGACTGGCTCAAGGTCACTCTGCCAGCTTTCATGCCTAAAGCAGGATTAGAGCCCACAATCACCTGATTTCTAGGCCAACAGCTTAACCACTACATCAAACTGATTTTCAAGGGTAGTTTTGTACAGAACATGTTGCAATAGTGCAAATGGGAGGTGATGAAGGCATGAAGGCTTATGAGCAGGGAGTCCTGATTAAGGAAAGTTAAGGAACTGGCACACAAACTGGATTTGGTCAAATGCCCTCCTGGCTATGGCCATGTACTCTTCCAACAGGAGCTGAGACTCCAAGAGAAACCCCAAATTATGCACTAATTCTGTCTTGGAGAGTGATAATATATACAGAATTTTAAGGACAATTTCTTCAGTTGGTTTACTTCTGTAATTCAACATTGTTCAGAATTCTGATTTTTGTTTAAATGTAACACTATAATGATTGCTTACAGTATTAAAACTTATTCAACTGTAAAATAATTTGATCATTAAGCAACATAAATCAAAGTTTCAAATCTGTTGTTTCTTTTTTTCCAAATTAGTATTTCACTGAGATTCAATGTTTTATGTATTTTTATGATAGTTACATTATTTTAAAGGTGTAATAAATAGTGTGGAAAAATATAAAGCATAATGGACTGAATGTTGAGATAAAAGAGAATAGCTTATTCTCCACACAGAATAAGCAACATCAGTGATGTTAGATTTACATTTAAATATAATCTATTATCATGAAATATTTGTCACAAAAGTACATACTCCACAAAGAAAGGCAGAATATAACTCATTTATCTTTGACAATTTTACCTCTGCTAAAAGCCAGGAGAAATTAGATTAGATAAAGAGAAGTTGAATGTTTTCCATGTGTACTTTCTAAGCTAGTATAAACACAGGGGGATGGAGAAATAAGAGTTGTTATGGATGTTCAAAACATAAACATTTAATGATCAATCCCTAGTGATCTACCATTTAGTTTCAGGAAGGCTAGAAGTCAGCAAATCTGCCTATAACTTGTGCTTTATTAAGTTCCAAAAAGTACGTAGCAGTCACAGTGACAAAATTGAAGCTAATGTTGGGCCTCATTAACAGAATATCAGGTTTTCTTCATTTATTACATATCTGCATTTACTCTCCATGTTCATCCAAAGCAGGTTTACAATATGTTACAAGTAATGCAATATAAGGTCTTAGTTTTGAGATTATTTCAGATCTCCCAAATTCCCAGGCAACATAGTCAACAAAAATGTAACTAAGGAAGTTAATGCAATATGTATGTAGAACATAAAAATGATAATTTGAATATGTAGAAAAACAAGGTTAACTCTGAGATCTTCCACTAACATTATAGCGTTCACCAGCAGAACATGAAAGATAATTCTTCTGCTTCAGAGGATTGAGGGAAGCAATGTTATGCACAAGAAAAATACTGGAAGAGTAACTTTATGCAATAATACAAATTCAAACAGACATTTTAGATATATCAAATTTATGTATCATATATATAAATGTTGGATCCTGCAACATTTTAGATATGATATAAAATGTTATTTTATCAGATAAGCTTCATCAGTGATATATTAAACTCATCTTTGATATTATGCCTCAATGATCTTCTGTAACATGTACAATGTAATACCTAGCATAATGAACACCTCTAAAATTTATGAACAGAAAAAAAATCTCATATTGCTCTTAGCTGGCATGGCAACTGCAAGAAATAAAATGAATTAAAAATTTCCTATCTTCCCACAGCCCCGGAGCTTGGCCTACCAATGTCTAGCCAGGTGGGTATTCTGGAATATGAACAACGGTGAAATCTTGACTGCTCCAGAATGAATACAAGATCCCAAGATTATAGTGCCTTGCAATTAGCTAATGGTTAAGGAATAAATTCTTTACCGAGGGTTGGGTAAATGCCTACATTTTATTCATTGGTGTAATTGATTAATTAATTAAAATGATAATTTTCATTAGAATCATATAGCATTTTGGATTCCAAGGCAAAATAGTGCTTTGAAGCTCAGAGGAGTATTCTCTACCACTTCTTAAAGCAGTTGTGTGTTGCGCTGAGGTCATGAGGCTGCAGCTGCCCCACAAATCCATGAAAATATGGACTTGCAGTTTGATGCTATTGTAAGAGAAGAACCTGTTATGGTGGCAAAAAATAAAGAAGTAGTACAATATAAAATGTGCTAGAGGAGAAGGCGCTAGTATCAGACTGATTCTACATGAATGTCCCTGTCTTTTCTGAAGCACCTTTTTCTCTTCAAATCTAAAATGTTGCATAGCCCTAATCTCTACCACACTTTTCCGATATTCATGAGACACACATCAAGTCTTTAAAAGGCCAGGAGATCTTTCGATACAAAGCTAGACATAATCAAGGTTGGGTCCCAATCGCGCTCTCGTGTTGGGAAATTGACCTTGGCTGATCTTGAAATGCACTTCTTCAAGTTCAGCTGCCTTTGGAAACAGTGAAATGCATTGCTCCTTATTAGCAGATGAAAGGGAGACCACTAAGAAATCCCAGGCTATAGGACAGAACTGGAAGTCCAGAAGAATACCCAGGAAGAAGGTAAGGGCAAAAAAGCCTTTCTTATGGAGAAATTCAGGAAGTCGTCAAGAACAGAGCAGGATTTGAGAGACCTGATCTTACCTCTCCAGATAACTCTGGCCCCGACACACACACACAACGCTGATATTCAAGTAATCACCCAAGCTGAGTAACCGATATCTGGCCTAATTATTTCTCGGCACAGCCAGCCCAAAGGCGCCTGTTTGCTGCTTTTAATAGCTCTGCACCTGACCGAGAAGCCCTTCACTCGAGATACCCGCAGGGGCTGCACAGGCGGAGGTTGGGGCGCTCCCTCCCCGCAACGGATGGGCAGAGGGGGATCTATCCTCCCCCGAGGACTCCCCGCCCCCTCCGTGTTATCCCTGGGCAAACGGGCTAATGGGAAGACCGCAGGAGAGGAGGCGGCGGAGGCATCCGCAGCAACAGGAACAAGCGCTACCCCTCACGCCTTTCGCCTTGCTACTCACCCGTCTGCAGAACCGGACTGAAAAGTTCAAGCAAGGATTCGAAAGAAGGGGAGGGGAGCGGAGGGGAGGAGGGGGGGGGATTTAAAATGGACCGATCGTGGGGGAAAGACAGGCTCAGGGTTACCAGCCTCCTTTCGGAATTGGCTCCCCCTAGCTTGAGGTTGTCCTCTCCATCGGAGCATGCGCAGTTCCCAAGGTAGAAGGCACGTTGCCCTTAACTCCAGGAAAGCAGTAAAGTTACTCTGATCACGCCTCTCTTTCTGTGGCACAACCGAACTATCTTTAGGCTGTTTCTTGTCCGGAAGTGTTAGGACTCGGGTTGAGTTCGCAGGCGTGAGGATTTAATTTTCTCGCCAAGCGTCCCTTCGCGGGCATCTTGATAAAGTGTTCAGAAGTCCACTGTGGCTTTTTACCTCCATGGAAAGGCGAAGATGTCATCTTCACTACTCATTGTTATCCATTCTTGCAGAGAAAAAACTCGCAAGCTGTGACATTCCTTACTTTTATTCCTAATGCCGTGTGCGAGTTCACGTGTGTTGGACTTTGACTCCATTCTTAGCTTTTTAGCTGCAGTGGAGTTGAGATCGTAGATATCTGGTAGGTGTTGCATTAGAGAAAGAGAAGTACTTTTTTTGTTTGTTTCAAGACTATCTGTATACATTTATGGGCTTTTTCTGAAACAAATCGAAGCACGGTAAATAACGAACCCCCAAAATAAACCTAATTATTAGACTATTTGACAGAAAGAATGATACTAAGATCTGTTCTTATGGACTGTACATCTGCCGTAACCTATTTGCTGAATTTGGCTATTGTATTTATCAAAATAGTAGTGAACATTAATACGTATTTCTGTACGTTGTTTCTGAGATTAATCAAGGGGCCAGTATATTGTAGCAAAAATGAATTTGAGAGATCTCCCCTGAATTAAAGTTTAAATCCCAGATTAGAGCAAATGCACCCTCTTTTGCAATACAGTTGGTGCCTTGTGATGAAATAAGAATGGAGTAGATTGTGATGGGCTGTGAGACATGAGGATCTACAAATACAATACAATGGAGCATAAAATGAATAAAGCACCCAAAAAAGTTTGTGCTGTTCATGTTTCTAGCATCTCAGGCAAAAGATTGCAGAAAAACTAAAAACAAAATACCCCCCCCACACACACACACCAATGAAATCAGGAAAGAATGCAGAGTTTGATTTCTGCAATTACTACAGTACAGTAGTTTCTCTCTGAGTCATCAGATGGGGAGGAAAAGGGAGGAGGCTTAGAATGGAGTTGGCAACATTCCAATTTTTTGCTCAATTGCCTCTCCCAGTGGGATATGTTAGGGCAGTGGTTCTCAACCTGTGGGTTGGGACCCCATTTGGGGTCGATCGACCATTTCATGGGGGTCGCCAAGCAAGGCTGTCCACCATTTTTTTTGTCCGCCATTTTTCCCCCCCTTTTCCAGCGGGTGCCTTACCTCCCTTGGGCTGGGCCAGCTGGTGGTCAGCCTGCTCTGTCTCTGCCACTTGCCAGCTACGCCTCGTCCGGCGCAGGGGGCAGAACCACGCATGCGCGGCGCTCCCGGGCAGGGAAAGTCCTCGACTTACGACCGGTTGGGTAGTCCTCGACTTACAACCGGTTTAGTCCTCGACTTACGACCGGTTTAGTCCTCGACTTACGACCGGTTTAGTCCTCGACTTACGACCGGTTGGGGTAGCGGCATTAAAAAGGTTGAGAACCACTGTGTTAGGGGCATCAAAAGCAAAATCACTGCTTTTTTCCCCCCAGCATTCTTTCCCCCCTTTCTCCTTTCTTCTCTTTTCTGATCTCTGTTTCTATTTGTAGTTTATGTTATAATAAATTTTAATAAACCAAGTTGCTCAGACAAATCTTTCCCATCCACATGCCCTCCCACAGCCCTTTGTGTTCACACCACCACACACCCTCACTTATACACGTGCACTGCACTCTCAGGCACCATACCTGACACCCCCCCATCCATTCTCCTCAACCTGCACTGCAACCTCAAACACCCTCCCTGACCTCCCCATACCTCTCACATATCCTCAGGTACCTCCCAACCCCCACCGCACCATCCCTGACTTGTGCTGCACTTCTCATGCACTCTTGTGCACCTTGCCCGATCCATATCATACCTCTCATGCATCCCTACACACTCTTTTCAATCTTCACAACACATCTCATACAATTTTTCAAAGCCTTGCACACCCTCCTTGACCTACACATGCCTTCCATGCACCCCCATGTACCCCTTGCTCCCTCCCTCACCTGCCACAGCTTACCTAACTTCTGGTCTGGGTCTTGCAACTTCCTGCTGGCTTCCCCATTGACTCTGATTGGGGGAACCCGCAGGAGGTTGTCTCACCTAAAGACAGTGGCACTCTGTTAACAATGGCAACTAGGATTGCAGGATTTGCTGTTGCTAAGCAATATGGAAATTCTGACCCCAATTGCATCGTAAGTCAAGGACTACCTGTACAACTTCTAAATCACTTCTCATTCACTGCTGAAACCTTACATGGTTTTAATATTTGGGCCTCCAAAATGGGATTGGGGGGGGATGTTAAAAGAAACAATACTATATTAGAACCTTGTATTTGTCCATTAAAAGTTTTGCCTCAGAATGGATTCTGGATTTGTTTTAATGATTATCAAGTTCAATTTTTGTATAACTTCAGCAACAATCATGTTACAAGAATAGTTTATATATCATTTGAAGGTGTGACTTTGAGAATTCTTACTTTTCCACCGTTAGCCAACTTTATTACATTCAGGTTCTGTCACCTCTTTTTACCGTTTTTTTACTTGTAAAATTATCTTTAAATTTGTTACTTTACCTTGTGGTTTTTAACCTCTCGTACTGTGCATCCAGCAAGCTGTGTTTCTGTCTAGTGTCGAAATCTTGCCATGAAGAAACTTTACTTTTGTACAAAAATTTAACATCTATAAAACATTCACTGTGATTTATTTGATGTATCAATTTTATGTGCTGTTTCTATCATTGGTGCAATGCCACCATCTACTTTTAACACCTGAGTTGGCCAGCTGATAATAAATGATTCTACATTAAGTCTAGCACATTTTTCGGTAAAACCTTGAACTGTTATATCTCTGTCTGCTTTCCAGATCCACGATTTTATGGCTCAAATCAATTTCATTTTTATGTCAACTCACTTCCTCCCAGAGTATTATTCTCAGCATTATTACTTACTCAGCCATGGTTGCTGAATCATTTAGTTTATCTCCAATAGCTTTAAATTCTTGTTGAAGAATTTTCTTTTTCGGAATTAAGTGCTGCTGGCTATATTTTATTTCTCTCATTCAGAATAAATGATCTAATTCAGCTGCATTCACACATTAAGTTGCTTCGATTGCTGTCCATTCTTCTGTCTTCTCAGTAACCCCAGAAAGTAAAAACTGTGATAATGAGAGAACAGTTAATATCTTCAAATTGGCTGAGTGGGTCAGGTTAGAACTTTCCTTTGTAGAATGCAAATTCAGTTCAAGAAGCTTAATTTGCTTAATTTATAAGGCTGCCTAATTCAACATGACTGGACAATGTGCAAATTTAAAAGCAGATAGAACACTTAACAAAAGAGATGGTAAATGACATAGAAAAATCAAACTTATTTCCATAGCAGCATTCAAAAAGGATCCACCATTCATATTACCCAAGAGCCAGGTTTTAAGAACTTTTTAAAAATAGGATCCGGTTGGGAGCCATGCACTTCTTAAGAGAGTGCTGCTCCGGATGGTAGGAGTGATGACAGAGAAGGCATGCTTCCAAGTTCCATCAGATCACATTATATTATCAATGTACTGTGTTATACTGTACTGATCCTGTACAGTAAAGATTGAATAGAATGGACAGATACTATGGGAAATAGATCAAGTAGTTAGATCTTATGTCATGAAGGTTATAACCAGCACCTTGACTTATACCTGTAAAGCTACTGGTAACCAATGCAGGTCCCAAAGCAGAGTGTTATGTAGGCATCTGAAAGATTGTCAATAATTGTTTGGCCTGCCACATACTGAATCAGTTTCAGCACTGAACATTTTTCATGTAAAAGCATTTAAGTAGTCCAATAGAAAGAGAGGTAACTTTTTCAAACCATTGTGTAATTGAGCATGTGTCCTTTTAATCTTATAACATAATCTTTAGATTTGTAATCATAAGAGCACCCAATATTCATTTCTCTTTTCCATCTGCTAATTTCAGAACCAATAATATATAATTCAGAATAGCACCAGTCCATATTGTTTGCAATCCAAGTGCATTTTAAGTAATTAATTGGAATTATCAGTTTCTTCCTATAAAACATAGAAGCATTCAACATTTGCAGTAAAATACTGTATTTTTATTGTAATGGCAATTTTACCTCTATATAGATGCCAATGAACATCCATTTACAATCTTTTTCCAGAGTTTCCAATTTTTTTCCTTAATAACTAATTTAGTATTTAATATTTGTTTATAAATACTTATCATAGATTCCTAGTTTGTAAAGAATGTATTAAATCCTGTGGTGTTGAAAAGGGTTCTGATATTTATACTCATAATCTAATCCAATTTATTAGAATACAGTCTCTTGTCTATTTAGTTTCTCCTAATTTCAAGTTTGAGTTAACCAATAGTAATTTATCACTAGGAACATACTGGGGCTGATTTGCTATTGTACATCATTCCTCCATAGCAGCTAATTCCATTTTTTATGAAGTAAATGAATTTTAATACTCTCTAACTTAATGAAACTAAGCTTCAGTAGTTATGCCTTCATTAAGGTAAGAAACCTTTGTCATAACTGCTCTGACAGTTAAAGCTTTCTGATAGAAGACTGAAGGGAATTTCCCCAAATTAATTCTGAATCAGTGAAGTAAATTTCTGAAAATATGTTTTAGGCCTCTATTTCTGAAGTATTCATTTTATCTTACATTCTTAGTTTAAGTGAGCCACTTATATCCAAATGTGTTATTGTTGAATTTAGATTTAGTTTAATCATC